CCCCCCCCCCCACACACACACACACACACCACCCCCACCCCATCTTTCAAGACAGGAAAGTGGCGTGCGAGTTCCATCAGTTGGGAGAAAATAAATGAGAAGAAGCATAGGTCCCTCTGAAACTGGCGAGGCAATTGGCTTTAATGGTGAGGGTTATCCTCTGCGGTTTGTTTTGATGTTATTGGATGAAAAGGCAGGTCTTTAGTAGCTGGTAAGGGGCTCGCCGTGAAAACAATTTGCCCTGGCTGAAGCAGGAGTGATTTGGGTAAGTGAGCTGGAGGTGCAGGATTATTGCTGTAATCCCCAGGTCGCAACCTCAAAGCGCAGCCCAACCAGTGAAGCTAATTGCGCCGTAAGTGCGCCGCTGTCGGGGGGCTGCCGCCGTGGCAACGGGCCTACGTCACCACGACGATGCTACAATGCGCTAAAAAGCAGGCTATATGAGAATCACGTTGATACACGCATACGCACGTGTGCATGTGTGCTTGTGTATTTATGAGTGCACATCAAGAAGTATGACGGATGTCAGAATGAATCCAGATGGGAGCTGCTGTTGGACCTTTGAGAAGATACTTCAACTGTATCGCTCCAGGAAAATATCCAGCTGTATAAGTGGGTAAAGATTTTAAAAATCTGAAACATGGCGGATAAATGATTTTACGTAAGGAAAGCCAAGGAGGCACAAAAGGACACCGCCGTGTTTGCGTTCTCATTCAGAAGCATCTCATTCTCATTGGTTGTCAGCACTTTGGTGAACCTCCCAGCTCTGGTGTTTAACGTGAAAGGTCACGTCACTAACAGCATGGCTGGGGGGGGGCGGGGCAAGCCCATGGTCCTGGTCCAGAATAACCCGCGGGTGCGCCGGCACACCATGGCCGCCTCGGAGGGCTCTGTTAATCCCCCCCCAGCCCCGGCGGGGACTGAACGCCCCCGGGTTTGGTCTCGAGGCGGGCCTCTCCAGGAAGCTGAGGGAAAATGGCGCCCCAGGCAACGTTACATTATCACTGTCGGGGACCTGCTCTTCCAACCATTCCAACACGCTGACGGGGTCTCTTCCCTTTCACGTGCCCTCTGACTCAGATCGCTCCATCCCTGGCACCCAGAATGCCACTGGGCCGTGCTTACGAGCCCGGTCCTGGGTCAGACGCCGTCTCACAGCCCAGGCAACCACTGTTGAACCTTTGAACATCCAGCTTATCTCTAACATGGTGGCCCCCAGTGTCTTTAAAGAAGCATTTAGCTTATTTACATTTTTTTCTGATGTACTGTGCATAATAATACAGTATATGCTGTCCCAAACCGTACATCTTCCTCGTCGCGGTCCATGCAAGCGTAACCGATGTCTTAAAGACGTCGTGATGAACAGCATCCATTATTCACAGGGGTTTTACACCCCCCCCCCCCACCCACCCACCACAAACTCTGTCTACCAGGGTAGGATCTTAAAGGGACGGCCGCACATGCCAAGACGAATGGAGCGGTCCCATAGTCTAACGAGGCTGGGGTCGCCACAGGGACACACGGTGGCTGTTAGGCGGCCCGTGTCTCGCCTGAGATCTGCCCCCCCGGGGATTGTCTGGGTGCGACCAGGAGTAGAGCCTTAACCAAAGTGCCCTGCTAAACACCAATTAGATATACACTCGTTAGGCAGCATAATATCATGAAAGACACTGATGAACTGAAGGATCTTTGTATTGTACACGTTTGTATTCCTGACTTTGTGGGGACTGTGCATTCATTTCTATGGGAAAACCCCTAATCCCAACATGGCAACCTTAACCCCTACCCAGCCCTAACCTTAAGCATAAGTAACCAAACAAAACACGAGACTTTCTTCAGTTTTAGTTTTTTGATTGCAGTCATACAAAATAGCAGGTATTTTTTTATCACATTGTGGGGACATTTGGTCATCACAATCACACACACACACACACACACACACGCATACCATGGACCAGATGGGAGGAAGATAAACTTTCGTCCACTCGTCTGTTGGGTTTTGAACTCAAATATAACCTTTTGCTTTTAAAAAAGTTTTTCCAGTTTGCATTAAATAATTTGTAAACTCACTGCATTCTTAAAGATGCCCCACCCCCGCCCTGTGGTGCAGGATGTACACTGTATATATGATGTGTGTGTGTGTGTGTGTGTGTGTGTGCGTGTGTGTGTGTATTAAACTTCTGCTTATGTAATTTCACATTGCTACCACAAAACAAAAACACTGTATATTTCTGTATTATTATGAGTAACATTGTGAATACATAAAATCATATAGTCTGTGAAGCACTACAGATGCATTAAATGCAACGGTTACGTGTCAGAGGTGGCTAGCGTGCTTTTGTGCCATGCAGACAGTGGGCCAGTCCTTTGCTGTAGACGGGTTCCCACGCGGACGGCTCAGGCCTGTGACAGCAAACACGAATGTCACGCGGCGGCATCTGAAACGTTGGCTTCCTCACCGACATCCCTCCCACAGCAAGGGCTCTGTGCTTCAACGCGCCTGTCTGCAGTCACAGCAGCTGCCCCCCTCCCTCCCTGCACTCACAAACCCAGGCAGGAGACACCAAAACAATGAGCATCACCCTGCTAAAACTGGAGAGAAGGGGGTCCTATAGGATCCTGGGGTCAGATGAAGGTAGATCCTTTCATGACTATGCTGCCACACCCTGGATATAGCATAGGGAACACAATGCCCCACCCCCTTATTCTGATAGGGGGAAAAGATGTTCTGGAATTTTCCAATAATTTTAATATGGAGAGCTAGCTAAGTGTAGTGAATTCAGTTTGGTTTACAAAGGTGATATTTATAATACAGGTTCAACAAAGGCACCCATACACGTGGCCGGGTTTCAGGCGGCCAAAGCACACACACACATATATATATTTTATTTATGTAGTCAGAGCCTCAGTGCAGCCATCCAGGCGTGACGTTTTTGTGTATGAAAGCACGGGAGGTCTGTCGCTGTAGTGGAACTAATTGATCTCCCATTACTTACTTATTGATCTGTAACGCGGCTCGACCGCAGCTCGGCAAATCACCTGCCACAACATGCCGAGTCGCGACTGCCCGGGTTTGGGGGAGGGAGCTCAGGCAGCCGCAGTGACCCCCCGACCCCGGTGATGTCACAGCCGCAGGGTCAGAGGGACTCATCGAGGCGTGACAGAATCA